GAATTATTTAACCACATTTCACTTCTTTAACAACTAAGACTTGCTCCAGGAGTGATCCCAAACGTTCTACAGAACTCCAAGTAACGATCAACTCTGCTTTGCACCGCCGCAGGACGCCCACCGTTGCATTCGCCACCATTGATCCTCCTCGTGGTGGCTCCAAAGCCTTGGTCCAAGACTGGACGAACATTTTGGTTCCAGAACCACATTGCACACTTAAAGGCCACTTCAGGGCTACGAGCTACCATATCTGGATCATTCAAGAGAGGGAGTCCAAGGAATTTTCCAGCTGCACCGTAATTGTAGTTCCATGTGATTTGGATTGGACCGCGACCATAGTAGTCCTTCCCTGGTTGACACGGATAGGCCGTGCTCGCTTGGCAGTACTTTCCTCTCGCTATTTCTTCTTTGTAACAAAAACCTTCACATAACGTAAATGATCCAGTTTTTAGTTCAAAACATGAGTTAGATGTCCAAAATAATTTGTTGATATATCACTTAGAAAAAATTATGAGAACTAAGAAAACATTTTTTACACAAACAAAATATCACTAGTTCACCCACGGAAGTTCATTTATATTGAGTTTATCTATTTATCTTGAAAGACATAAGTAGCTTGATGATAAGATAGCAATTTTTGCTGAACTAACCAAGATGACATTATGGTGCTAATTGAGATAATCTTATAGAAAAATGCTATTTTCGTCTTAATAAAATAATGCATGCACTCAATGTGGTGAAATTAGAAGGGTTTATGGTGAACACTTACTTCCAGATTCGTGAGAGAACTGAGCCAGCATGGCCGCAATTTCACGCTTAGCTACAGTTCCTTGATAGGCCGGGAACGACTGAGCGGCCGCGATAAAAGCCTGACGAGTGTAGAACCCTTTTGCTGGACAACCACTTCCAACTTTGCTCATGATACCATCAAAAAATGCTGGTGTGACAACGTTTTCAATGGTATCACGAGGATCAGCGTTCAGACCGCCCACACCGCCGCTAGGAGCTGGTGTGGTTCCAGAGCTGCAAGGTCCGCTTCGGCATCCTGTGCCGCAATAGGCTGGTGTGGTGCCACAATAGCCATATCTACTGCAGCATAGGTTGCCTGCGCAACCGGTTGTACCGCAGTTTTGCGAAAACGCGGTTTTTGTCACGATGGTTAAGGTAAAGAGGAAAAGGATGAGAGCGTTTTTGAGAATTTCTCTTTGGTTAGCCAT